CTGATGAAGCCTTTTTACAGTTCTGATTTAGGATCCACAGAAGCAGTAGAGCCTAACTGCTGTTAAACAGTCATGGACTTGTACTGCTTCAAGAGAAACGTCTTGTAGCCAGAGTTCCTAATTTGTCTTTTTATGTGCTTCTACAGGTGTTTGCCTTTGATCACTGCTTCTGGTCCATGGATGAATCAAACACCACAAAATATGCAGGTAAACTATTTTCCATACAGTTGACAGTGTAAGTAATTTGAGAACATATGAGAGCTTTTGTTTTGTGTTTTTTTTTGTGTTTTGTGACAAGTGACTTCTTTACAAAAGCAGGCTTCTCATTTTCACAGCGATTGAGTCATCTCAATCCAGTGTAGAAGGAATGCAAGCTTTAAGATGCCCAGTACATCTGCTTTTACATCTAAGCTATAACGTTCTTTTTTTTTAATCCCTCAGAAGAGCCTCTTGTGATGATTGTGTCTGTTTATTGAAACTTCAGTTCTGCATCAGAAATTACTTCTGACTAATGCTAGTGATCAAAGTGTGTGTTTTCGGCGCTCTGCGTTCCTGTGCATGAGAGAGGAAAAAAGCATGTTATCATCAGGTGGTGTGGTTATTTCAGGTCTTTCAAGTCATTCATATAGTCTGATCGTTCAGATCCTTAATGTTTTTGAGTGATCAGCTTTGTGGCTGCTTCCTCCCAAAAGATGGATAATCCAGACGAGGTCGTAATCCCAGTGGTTAGTTTTCTCGTAACTGGATTTGTGTATTAGCATATTCATACTTTATAAGAGGACATGTTTTGATAGCGAGAGCTCTGAACACTAGGATTTCAAGGCTGCGGTCCATGAAAAGGAGAAAAAAATAATAGCATTCAGTTTAGATGTCAGTATTATGAAGTTTTGTGGCACATAAGAAATTTTGATGGTTGATTGGGTTAATTAGCTCAAAGTTTGAGATCAGTAGTCTAATAAGTGAACTGTCATATACTTGTGTTAAAATATGTCTCTGCTGTAGGTCTGGTATCAAATCCCAGATCTCAGGGGTTGCACTCGATCAGATTCCGCTGTACTTCTTACTTGCCTGGGCAAAGACAGGTTTCCTCAGGAAGAAAGTTCTGCGTTGGTTCATCTTTCAGTAACTGTGTTTGCACTGAGCAGGTGCACTGCACAGTGTTCTTGGTTCAGGCTGTTAGAGCCATAAGAACATGCAGCACCTCCTGCACACCTCCGTTTCCCTTGGCAGGAAGGAGGTGATGGTATGCACCCACATCTTGACGCCACGTGCCTCGAGTGTGCAGGTGGGAGCTGCACCTGTGGCGTGCACCATGGTGTAACCCACGTGGAGAGGATAGACCAGAGAAACACCTCTACCCGGTTAAACTTGTTCCTGTCTCGGTTTAACCCATCTCCAGGTGAATTCAGTGGGGTTCTAGGCCGGTTTATTTTAAATTTGGGGCAAAACAAGATTTCTCTAGCCTATTTCTGAAGTTGTCGTTGAATTTGTCTTATCTGAGAACTGAAGTTTTATTATATGCATGCAGATGAACCTCTTGTTGGACTGGGCTCTAGAAAGCTGTTGCCTGCATCTTTTACATTTTCTTGCTGGCCAAAAAGCTACAAGATGTTTTTTTTGCCCATCCTAGATAATATTCCTGCCAGGGAAAAAAACCCCATGAAACTATTTTCCTTGGTTTTTTTTTCAGAAATATGGTAAGAATGTGAGCTTCAAGACTTGCATACAAAAACCAATGCTTTCACTGATATTTTTTTTTTTTTTTATGTACAGTCTTGAAGATAACTTGTGACTTCCAGCCCTCATGTTCTGGAAAATAATGAATTTGGCAGAATATCAAAATAAAAGTTAAAAATAAAACAAACCAAAACTGTTTCAGGCCTATGTTACTGGGTTGTTGGCTTTTGCACTTGCTTGTGCATGAACTGATACTATCCTGTACTACAATAGCGTTTCTTGTTTTAGAGCCAGCAAACCAAATGCCAAATGGCAAGATTTCAGGTTTTATATATTTATGGTATTAAAGTACCCCAAGTCTTTTTCACAGCTTGGCCTGAATTGCTATGGTAAACAAAAAAATATGTAACTGGTTGTGATTGGGGTTTTTGATAATCCCTTTGCCTTTGGAACAAAATGCCATTGTCTAGGCACCTTGCAAATATTACATGTGGTCTATGGCCAGAGATCATACTAGAGACTGTTACAGAATTAACAAGCTTAAAGTTAAAGAGTCCAAACAAGCCACCCGACAGCCTGAGTTTTTGAGCTAAACTGTAATTTCTTGGTTGGATGCTGGACTACGGGAGGGATGCTGATCTGGAATCTGGATAGGTGCAGTAAACACTCCCTGCCCAAAGTAACTCTATGTGGATGCATGAGTTTAATGTCATTGGCAAGAGCAGTAATTAGCTGCACAATTAAAAGGAAATGTATAAGTCTTGAAAGCTAAGTCCCGAGTGCTTGTAAGTAACATGTGAGTTTCAAGCTTAAGTAAAATTATTGAAATAAAAAAGGTATGTGAGACAAATTTGATTACTTGAAAAAATCTTTTATCTGTGTCACAGAAATACAGTGGAACATATGACAGTGAAAGGTTTCACAAGAGATTGTCAAGCACTAGGCTACCCTATCAGTTACTGCTCTCTGTGCAAGACCAAAACACGCTTATCGTGTGTTATGTTGAATAGATCTGTTGTTGTGTATATCACACTGTATCAAAGATTTTGTTGGCTGACACGTGGGACATCAGAAAACCTGTAGAATAGTCGCACTACAAACAACATACATCTGAATTCTGTGTTGACTTATGTGGAGAACTCTTCCATGTTGTGTTTTGGGGGTTTTGGGTTTTTTTTTAATGTCAACAAAACCAAAGTTTGTGCTCTCCTGGAAATGCACATTTGTTACAGGATCCTTAAAGCTATCACACATGTTTATGGGCTGGTTGTATTTTTCACTTTAATTGTTCTACAGTATTAACAGCACTTCTTTATATTGTTTGCACAAGAGTGAGATTCTTGTTTGTATAAACTTAATCACATGGGTAATTGGTAACCAGCCTCATGCTGTGGGGGAGCAGGGCTGACCCCGAAATAGGATTAGCCATCTCTTTGCCTTACACTAAACCTATTCTGTGAGATATTTTTAACATTTTTGACTGAATATAAGGCTTATTTTGTACGTACTAATCTTTTTTCTGAACTCATATTCAGGAAGTGCAAGGGATCTTATTCCAGTTTGAAAGTAACCTTCTCTTTCCAGCATTTGAAAACACAGAGATTGTTGCTGTTGGTAGCAAAATTGCTTTTTTCCTAGCAATTTTTTTTCCACTTATGTGGAAATTGGGTTCTAAAATTCTAAAATGATCCAGCAATATCACTAACAGAAATAGTGAAAGTAAGCTTCACGTGACAAAAAACATCTAGAGGGCATCTTGGCAGCTGTCCTTGCAGGGCTGTATCTCATAAGGACAGTGAGGAGTCTGGAGCACAGAATAGGAGTAAGCTCTTTAAAAGACCTTTGTGGAAGTGGTGCTTTGGGTTCAGCTCTGAGATGGAGGCTCTTTAACAACTTGATATGCTATCTTAGAGATTGCAAGATGCAGAACCCTCTCTGAATTGCTCTTAAGACTGAAAATGAGGTGTTCATAATCTATGTTGAAGTTGGTGGGTTTTTTGGTTTTGTTTTTTGGTGGGTGGTTGGTTGTTTTTTTCAAGCCAACCAGTTAGCAGGTAGAGGGAGAATTACTCTCGATACTAATGCTGTGTGTTTCTGAACAATTTGTGGCTGTGTCGTTCCAAGCAAGGAATAGTTAAAAACCTCTGGGTTTGTACTGATCATCACATGCTAGCTCCTGCACCCTTTTTCTGATGATTTAATTCTGAAAGGATATAGTTGGGTGTTTGATGAGAGTATGAAACTCGTAGCAGAAAGGAAAAAGGGAAAAAAAAATAGGTCAATGAAATAGATTTTTGAGGAGAGAGGGAAATTTGGTTATAGCACAGTATGAGCGTGCCTTGATCTGGAAAAGGGATAAGCTTTGCCTGGCAGGTTATAGGAGAGGTGTTTTGAGAGTGAGCAAAATAGCTTCTTATTACCATTTATTTCTTGCCTTGAATGGGTCAAGAGTCAGTTCATGGATCAGGACACACCTGCTTGCCTTGAAAAGCTCACAGAGACAAGTAATAGCTTGGCATTTTGATGAAGAGGAGAAGGTGGAGAAATTCTCAGAGACAAGAACAAAGAATTCTTTTTGCAAGCCTAGACAACAGTAAGAGCCTATTGAAGTCTGCAATGAAGTGGATTTTTTTAAGGCAGGAAAGAAACCCTTCCATTTGGGAAGGATTCAAGAGGTGATATAAATAACTACCGTAGCACTTAGGCAGGTCCATTCCAAGGACCCCACGCTGTATCGACTTGTTCTTAAACTCCCTAAGCTGCATCACGTTTGGCCTGAAATCTCAGCTCTGTGTTTCTGCAGGCTGCCTTGTCCTGAAAGGCTGAACACCTGACTCTGGGCTAAGTTTTAATTCTGTAGGAAATATGTGTGCTGACTGCTCTTTCAGCAGCTATTTTAAAAGGAAAAAAAAACAGGCAATTGGCTTAAAGAACTGCACTCTTCTATCTTCATGAGAGATGGTAAGTCGGTAGTTCTGACTAACGTTTAAGCTGTTATGTAGGAGAACCCTATCCCTTTCTTATTCTTCCCTTGATTTATTTTTTTTTTACAGGAGACTCTACAGAGCACGTAGGACTTAATTTTGTGTCACATAGCTGACACTTGACGTGTACATTTTGGGGGAAACTTAGTTATTCAGTATGATTTTAACACTGTACGGATCAGGCACTTGAAACGTAGACCTTGCAGCACCTAATTTGAAGCACTGTAGACCTTTTATGGATGATGGCTTTGAACATCAAAGCTTTGTCAGTACTGTGGTGTTAGACTGCGGTGGTTAGACAATGCTAGCTGTGGTGCTTTCAGGTTCTTGTTAAGGTGAACCGTAGGCATCTTTCTTCCCGTTTTAGAGATATTCTTTAAAACTGCTATCTAGCAGAGCTTTTAATAATTCTGATCTCCACACATCAAAGTTTTGTTTTAACTATTAGATCATGGAACCCACCGCAATTTATTGCTGTCAAGATTTGCTTATTAAAATGTTCTGGGTTAGAGATTAAGCCATAAAGATACTAGATTTTTGAGCGTTGTACCTAACAAATTGTTAGTTGGTTCTAGCAATTTTTGCCGTGTAAGGAAGGGGGCTTCAGGAATGGCAGCGATGTGTCATAACATTGCAGTCATAACCTGGCTGAATGAATCCGTGCTAATATGAGGCAATTATCCCTATTTCAGATCGTCAGGTTGTTGTGAACTGGAAATATTAGACGTCTGAAACCCAGACACTGAAACTAATTTTTGGTACAGTACATCTTGAATGTGTTTGTTGCTAAATGAGCGGATTTTAGGAAAGACAATGACTGTTAACTGCCTTTTTAAAAGAGAGTTTTGTTGGAATGAGTGTGGCTCTTTTTCCTCCCCTCTCTTTTCTTCCCTCTCTTCTCTTTTGCCAGTCTAGTGAACTTGAGAATATTTAAACTTTATTTGTAAATAGCTTCATTTTGCAGATCATGAGAACAGGTCCTAGGGTTCCTCCGCAGCGTGTAAGTTTCCCCAGAAACATTGTCAAATCTGATCTCATGATTGGGACTTCAGAAACTGTAAGGGGATGATTTGGAGGAAGAGAAGGAGAAAGAGCATAGAGATATAAGAGAGAATACTTAAATATCTCATTCTGAAAGTGATGTGTGTTGTGTTCTTGCATGTCAGGGTATGTATTTATCTTTCTATTTTCAGAGACTTTTTATTATCTTACATGTTTTCCTAATTTAAATGTTATAATAATTCATGCTGGCTCAGAGATTCCAACTAAGATTTTCACATGCAGCTCTGTGGGTAGATAAGCGAAGGTTTTATTTTAGAATTGTTAATAATTTACTAGACTCTATTAACATGTGCACTGCCATACTTTGCTACCTTTACTTTGTTTTGTATTTTTGCCATTGAAATACTCAGCCATTTCAGTAGCTAGAGAACATGTGAAAAAACTTTTTAGCTTCAAAATGCTGTACTAAACACCCTTGGCGAATGGTAATAGCAGAAGCAAAAAATTTGAAAGTTCCAGGAATATATGTAGGTTAAAAATGTAAATCTGAGAGGAAGATGAGTTTCCTTTAGCTTTCAGGTAAGTCACAGGTACCATTTCGAACACCGAAATCTTCAATATCTTTAGTATGACTGTTGTGAAAAGCGGAATGTTCATTATCTTGGTTTATATGTTTATGGAAGAATGTCAAGAGTGCGTGGGAGTGGTGAACATGTGAAAATATTCAGTCCTGTGAGCTGTTGGAAAGATTCTGCTGTTTTCCAGTCTCCTGCTGGAAGTGGCCTTCTAAGACACTGGGAATTTTTCATTTGATCTTGCTTAGATTTCTGACACCCGCCCTCCCCTACTGTTGGCATCGGGCTTGCAGTTGTGCTTGTCAAAACACACAGATAATGTCTTGAAGCTATGAAGACAGTTACAGCTATCGAGTGAAAGTGGAAAGTATTTCCATATTGTCTTGATGTTGCTTCCCAGTACACTTTCAGAACTGAGTGGCCATCCACCAGTGTTTCTCAGGTTTCAATTAGCAGAGCATCCCCAACAGCGTGCTGGTAGGGTTTCAGACCTTGCAGTGTTAGGGGTACTGCCACGTGGGCTGTAACGACTGTGATAGAGCATATAGCAACATTGATAATCTTTTTCAGAGCATGATTCCACGTTAACAGTCCTGCTCCTTAAAGTAAGGGAAATGAGATTATTTACACAGTGGTCTGCAAGAAAAATTCACCAGGCTTTGCTCCCCTTTCCTTGAAGGGATGAGCAGACAGGAGATCCTGGCCGGTGAGAAGAGGCAGCTCCTATCCTTTCCCTGGGCTCCCTGATAGCCTTGGGTGTGCTTTCCCAGCTTGACTGACTGCACATCCGTCGGTCACCTAAGGCTTGCGCGTGTTCGGAGCGCAAGATGGGAAAGGGGATGGGTGTTTCGGTGTCTGGCCTTCAGTTGCCTCTATAAAAGACTATATGGTCTTAGCCAGCTGGAAGATTGGGAATCCCTGTCTTAAAGACAATAAAGGTTGGTGTAGGGGAAATCTTTCTGTAAACTATTTTTTTTTTCCCCCGTATTTCTCTATTTTTCTGTAAATTAAATTACAATCAAGTTAAAAGCCTTGCTTACCTCTTCAAACACTAGATATCCGTGGAAGAAAAGTCCTGTAAATAACCAAAAGTATTAATTGCAAATGGTATAGGTTTATTTAGCAAAACAAAAATCCAGTAGTGTAAACAATGGAACTGCATTATTTCTTTTGACTATAAGTGCATGTAGACATAATTCTGTATAATACAGATTTTGTAATCAGTTTGTAAACCCACTGATAAAATTCATGGGGGAAGCAGTGAGATTTCCTAATGAAAAGTATCAAAATCTCATGGATGATATGCCGTTACATGTTCTTTACTGTGAGTGCACTTAAAACCCAATCTTACTTTATCCCATGATGATTTGACTGGTTACTGTAAACATCACTCTTTAATGACCCATTTGTCTATGTTGGTATTGCTGAGCTCTTAAAAATTGTAATAAAATAGCATTTTAGAGTCAGTGTCTGATTTACTTTCAGTTTGTGTTGACTGAAAATTAAATCTCTTCTGAAAAAAAAATCCAGTTTTGCCTGTGAGATTCAAACTGAGTTCCTTCCCTGGTATTTAGCAGTAAGGGATTTTGTAGTGGTTATCATGACCGTGCAGAGGTTTATAACATTTTGGAAACATGGAGGAGGTTACTGGTTTACTGCTGATCAGAAGTGGGTGTTAAAAGTGTTTTCCTCTTCTGACAAATGGTTTTATTCTCCACTCACGATCATTGTGGAATATGTATGCTTTTTTTTCTTAATAATTATACTCATCTTCAATCTTTGAATGAGTTTACATTGTTGATCAATAAGATAGTAAGTGGCTCCCTGCCTTTTTGATATTTCGTGACGTAAAAGTGGGCTCTCAGCAGCTGGTTGGAAACAAATTATTGTGTATTGTACGTTCTTATTAAAATCTTCTGCTGATATATTTTCTTCATTCATTCTTCAGTAGGTTAACATTCTCTATAACTATTTCCAGGTTGTGCTCTTAACACAGAAGTTGTAAAATGACCAAATGATCTTAAGTTGAATGAGTAGTGAATGAATGTGCATGGGGAAGGAGACAGACTTATTCTAGAGTACAGCAGATTCTCCTCTGGTTTGAATTCCTGTATTCAGGAATTCCTTAATTCAGTATTTCTGAACTGTGTTGATCCAAGGAGCAGTGACACTTCAGAATTTTAGAAATTGAACTGGAAAGATACACAGAGAACATTTGATAGGGCATTGCTGCACTAGTTTTTTCCTTTACAGCAGTAGAGCAATTAGGTTAAAGAAAAGTAATGTAGTAGTTTAGTCCTATTTATATGCCTGTAAATCATTCCACAATCATTCCACGATTGTTCTTCAGGAATTTCCTGGGCTTCCAATTACTCAAGGATCATGTAGTGTAAATATTATCATGCAATGTATAAATGTATTGCTAGATGTTATTATTTTTTATGCCAGTATGATTCATTTTGAGGACTATGGAAGTCACTGTTGCATCCACTCTACAAATTAATTTCTTTTAACTGACAACAGCTGAAACTAACTCACTGAAATGAGAGATACTGTTCTTAGCTCAGCTCTGCTTGTTTTGGATGTACACACAGCTGGTGTAGCTCTCTGATCAGAACACAAAGCAGACAACCCATTGACTCTCTTTGTGATGTACAAATTCTGGGCTTTCCTATTAAAAAAACCCAACCACTATGCCTATTTTCATCTTCTACATCTAAAAGACTGAAGCGCATATAAAATCTGCCTGGCACAGGGAGATAATTTTCAGACTATGGGATTCTGCAGCTGATGTTTCAAACTATGTATTTGGCAGAACATATCCTCTAGCAGCTCTGTTGAAGTCTCACAGAGCCTCCTAATAATACACCTTTCCTCCCTGAATGTCATCAGAATGCATTTATCTTGGTTCCAGCACCACCTTGCCATGGGTGAATCACAATAGCTTAGGGTAAAACTTCAGACCGGTTCTCAAGAGAACTAGTACTGTTTCTAAGCCTGATATTTGCTGTACCTCTAATATCCTAGTTCCCGAAGGGCTTTTGTTACGATTCTGTTACAGAACTCTTTTGGGTATAGTTTGTGATTAAAGAATGTATGTTAATTGCAAAATTTACACTTAAACAATACAAAATTTAGATCTATGTTATTTTCTAAGCATTCAACTTGTATGACACCTTTTGAAGAACTACTCCCTTCATGGGAAAATTAGCAATATATTTAATCACAGAGGTAGCTGTTACACTAGTTTCAGGCAACAGTTTTGAACTTGTCACTCAGTTGTATGTGAAATCATTTGTTCATCGGTGCACTCAATAGTAAAAACTAATTTGCAAACCCTTTTTTCTTGCTTTCAGTAGATTTTCATCTATTATTCAATTTAAAATACACTTAATTGTTTTCTAGGTCAAGAAGTGGTGTTCAAGTGCCTTGGAGAAGGAATTCTTGAAAAGGCCTTTCAGGGATATAATGCTTGTATTTTTGCCTATGGACAGACAGGTGAGTCTCCTGTGCTAAGGGGGAAGAATGCTTTTTGTGCATATGGGAAGAACGAAACATAAATATTAAGCTACACAATATTTCAAAATTATATTTTGAAATATCATAACACTAAATGTCAAACATTTTAGCACAGCCAGTGAGAATGTAAAGTTCTTAAAGCAGTATTGTAAATATGTGGGACTGCTTTCAAAGCCTGAAAGAAGTAGTTCATACCAAAGACTCGTTCAGTCTTTTGTGTTTGTGTTCAAGTAATGGCCTTGCTGAAAGAAAGCTTTAAGATAATTTTTCTTTTTGTTTACCTGTACCTTGTAGCCCAAAGAGCAAGCTATCTGTCTGGAATAGCATGTCACATTGTTCTGTTACCAGCTTCTAGCAGAATAAAAAGAGAATTACAACAATGTGCTTCATGACCAAACAAGTACCTCAGAAACTACATTCTAAAATATTTTCTTCTCCTTTTTTCCTTTAGGTTCAGGAAAATCCTTTTCGATGATGGGAAATGCAGAGCAGCTGGGTCTGATCCCACGGCTCTGTTGTGCTTTATTTCAGAGAATCTCTGTGGAGGAAAATGAATCTCATACTTTTAAAGTTGAGGTGTCCTATATGGAAATCTACAATGAGAAAGTCAGAGATCTGCTTGACCCAAAAGGGTGAGTACGTTCACTCTCCCCCTTATTTTTGTCTGAAACTATAAGATTAGAAAAAGTGAAAATCAAAGACTTTTAGAAGTCCTTGAGAAGGTTTTTTCAGAAGGTATGTTTATATGACTCCTTTAGAAAGGATTAGATACTAAACACTAGAAAGAAGATAATATCCATGTAAAGCTAGCATATGAAGTAGTAACTGGTGTGGATCAATTTAAATACTAGGATACCATCATAATGATGCAAACAAATACTGTATGAAGTGGTTTACCTCCGTAAAGCAGCAAGACTATGTACAAGTAATTTCTGGGGTATTTCTGCCGTATGGCCCAGACCGTTTTCAAGTAAGAATTTTCATCAACTAGAGTTTGAAGCTTATTTATGATTTGATTCTCCTGGTTTAGATGTTGAAGTTTTTGAATGAGAATAGCACCTCAGAATATACTCGTGGCACTCTTTCTTCTGTTTCATCTACACAAAAGTACTAGCTAGGCTCTCTAGCTTGGAGATGTCTAGACATGAGGTAGTTTGATAAGGTTTTTTTGGCTGGATGTTGGTACATGTGGTATATATTTTGATTTTTGAACATAATTGCACTAGATGAAGAAGTATACAAGTTAGTTAAGAAGGTAGATTTGAGACTTACTTGATACATGTCAATAAAGTGTGGAAAATGCAAGAAGAATTGAAGCTTTAGCAAATTGCTGGCGGGAGAGGAGAGGACTTCTTGTTTCATGTATGTAGGTTAAAACCGGTAGGTTAATTTGAGTCTTTATTGTTAATTTGAGTTAACAATTCTGGAAGACCTTTTCTCCTTCTATTACAATTAAAAGACATAAATTGACTTCTGCTATATAGAAGATTCTTATATTTCCTACTGTAATTTTTATTTTTCAATAAAGTTCACACTAGTGGGTTGTGCATAAAGTCTACTTTATTCCGTAGGAGTCGACAGTCCCTTAAGGTTCGAGAGCACAAAGTGTTGGGACCATATGTAGATGGCCTGTCTCAGCTGGCTGTTACAAACTTTGAGGTAACTCTAAATGAATGACAAGTTTATAAATAACACCTATGTACATAAGCAATAGCAATCTCCTAAGAGATAAACTACCATCTGTCCAAACATTTTGGTTCTTGAGTGTTTATGATCTCCAGCAATGGCAAAGATCTTCTCTAATGGTTCAGGAGTATTTATTTCATGTAAAAGCACTGGATTTGCCATTATGTTCGTTAAAAATATAATAGTGGTAGCTCTTAATTTTGCAGCTTACAATACATATAGTACACACCAAGAACACAATGTTTCCTTGGCACAGGAAATAATGAGGTTTCCAAAATAAGAATATTAGTCTTCCAGCTTGAATTCCTTCGATTTTGTTGTTGAATACGACCTCTTATTTTATACAGGTATATTGCATGAGGAGCTACAACACAACTTATGTATTTCATAATTTAAATCATGACAGCATCTGAGCCTGCTTGGGTTACCAAAACACATGCAAATAAATCAGTATTGTAGAAGCCAATGAACTACTATAGCTACAATTGAAATAATTAAAGCAGTGCGGTTGTGTGAATTGCGTAGGCCTTTCTTTTTACGAGAAAGCTGATTTGGAACTGTTGTTTTTTGAAAAATGTTCATTCTTTGTGTAGTATTATGTGGGAACCGTTTTGCTTTTTTTTAAGGGGATTATTGTTTTTGTGAAGCGTCGCATCTGTGCACATTAGGGTTATAAAAACTGCTTTCTCACGTTTTGTGGTGAATTGCGTACTTTGAAGCACATCTTTGTTCAAATTCTAGGAAATTTTGTTCATACCTAATTCTCAGCTGATGACTTTTATGAAACTGTCTTGGAAGACTCAGCAAATACACGTATCAGACTCAGCGTAGTCTTTGGTTTTAGATGTGTAGGAAGGTACCAAACTCCAAGTGAGGTAACCGTTTGAGCCAATTAAGTGTAGTTTTAGTGCAATTCAGTAAAGAGGCGCATTGTGTTCAGTTGTGTAAGTAGATCTGTGCTGGACTGATTACTGACATTAAACAATATATTCATAATGTGAATGTTGCCTACATATTTCAGCAGCAGATAAGGAGAAGGTGCATTGAATGTAGTTGCTGGGCTTTTAAGCGCAGCACTTAAGACAGAGATGTGATTTAATGTCATGCTATAGAATCACATACCCTCTGTACCAATACATCTCAATCTGCAAAGAATTTTCTCATTACTTCTACCTTCCCTTCTTCCTCCCTCCCACATGTA